GTTCCCATTGGAAGCCAGAGAGCTTTGGAACACAGGCAATGCCGTCCACCTGCCTGAGCCTACTGGGGCACAGAGCAGGGCGGAACAGCACAGAGGGGACCCGGGGGTAAGTGAAGATACCGGGTACCAGATTTCTTCCCTGACGTGTTTTCAGCAACGACATAGAAACCAGCTGCCCTAGGAGACAGGGTGGCGGCGTGGAGAACTGGGCACTGGGAGAAGAAACAGAAACGGGGTCTCTCATCTGCAGGCCAGTCCACTCGTCACTGCAGCTCACCTCCTGCACGTCACCTACCCCGGGCCTCCTAATGCACCCTTCCCTCAGCTCACCTCCCGCATGTCACACCTACCCCGGGCCTCCTAATGCACCCTTCCCTCAGCTCACCTCCAGCACGTCACCTACCCCGGGCCTCCTAATGCACCCTTCCCTCAGCTCACCTCCCGCATGTCACACCTACCCTGGGCCTCCACAGCACTATGCTAGCAGACTAAGACAGTAGAGCCCATTGCTTCCTAAAATCAATCACTGGGCCTGACCCTCAGGGAATGGGAAGAAATGAAATATTCCTTCTACCACCACCAAGCCTTTGTACAAACTGCTCCCTCTGACTTTAACATCCCTTCCTTTCACCTAAAATCTCTTCTTCCTTCAGGGCTCACATCCAGGAAGCCGTCCCTGAAACCCCATGCTGGATCAGGAACCTCTTCTGGGACTCTGAAGTCCCCGTGCTCCCTCACCACAGCCCCGCCGCCCCGCCCGGGCCCCCCATCACGGCCCCGCCGCCCCGCCCGGGCCCCCCATCACGGCCCTGATCGTTCTGGCCTGTCACTGGTGACCTGTGTATCTCCCCTGTGGACTGAGTTACGTGTTCACTTTCAGTGCTGAGCCTTGTAGTCGTTAACTGCCTTCCATGCTGACCTTATGACAGAACAAGACACTGCCGGGTCCTGTGCTATTTTCATGACCGTCGGTATGTCGTGGTGATTGTATGAATCTCATTGAGGCGGGACCTGGTCTATAGCTGGAGCTCAGAAAACCGTTAGGTGACTAAATGAAAGAAATAACCACACAAGGAACATTCAAAACCTTTAACTCCTGAAAAGGCCTGGACACTGACCATCAGACAGAGGCCGGCCAGAGTACTGGGGGCAGGGTCCTGGGGGCCCGTGGCTACATGAGGCAACCCCCTTTAGTTCCGGGACCATGGTATGGTGGGGGCGGGGGGGTCCCAGGCAGTCAGCAGGGGTGGAATATTAACAAACTAGTATTTTAATGCCCACCACACCTGAACAGCATTGCCAACCTAATGTCCACTCTGGCATCTGAAGATCAGAAAGGGGGAGTCTCCTGCCCAAGGACGCACAGCCTGGGGCCTCACTTTGCC